GAACATCAGGGAATAGACTGTGATGGCTCTACATTTGTATCCAAGATAAGCAATTAAATAATAAGTCTATTTTTTATCAATTTATAACACTGAATTTTATAAAAAGTGAGTGTCTAGGGGTTCCTGGCTGGCTCAGTCTGTAGAGCAGGCAACTCTTGATCTCAGGGTTGGGAGTTCAAGTCTCACATTGGGATAGAGTGTATTTAAAAAAAAAAAAAAAAAAAAAGGTGTCTATTTCTTTAAATCCTTTATTAGGAAAACTATAGCTTTTTGGTTACACAAGAGCAGCAGTATCCAATAAAAATAGAATGCAAGTCACGTATGTAATGTTAAATTTTCTTTTTAATTAAAAAAATTTTTTTAATGTTTATTTATTTTTGAGAGAGAGACAGAACATGAGCGGGGGAGGGGCAGAGAGAGAGGGAAACAGAATCTGAAGCAGGCTCCAGGCTCTGAGCTGTCAGCACAGAGCCTGGTGCGGGGCTCGAACTCACAAACTGTGAGATCGTGACCTGAGACGAAGTCGGCCGCTTAACAGACTGAGCCACCCAGGTGCCCCTGTAATGTTAAATTTTCTAGTAGCCACATTAGAAGTAGAAAGATTTAGTGAAATTAATTTTAATAATATATTTTATTTAACCCAGTACATCCAAGATATTATCATTTCAACATTAGTGAGATATTTTACTTTCTTTTTTTTTGTATTAAGTCTTCAAAACCCACTGTACATTTTACACTTACAGTATATCTCAGTTTGAACTAGCCACATTTTTTTTAAATTTTTTTTTTTAACGTTTATTTATTTTTGAGACAGAGAGAGACACAGCATGAACGGGGGAGGGGCAGAGAGAGAGGGAGACACAGAATCGGAAGCAGGCTCCAGGCTCTGAGCCATTAGCCCAGAGCCCGACACGGGGCTCGAACTCACGGACCGCGAGATCGTGACCTGAGCTGAAGTCGGACGCTTAACCAACTGAGCCACCCAGGCACCCCTGAACTAGCCACATTTTGAGTGCTCAGTAGCCACATGTGGCTAGTGGCCACCATATTGAATTAATGTAAATCTAGAGTTTCAACACATTTGTGTGCAGTAGACTCTACATAAATTGACATATTATACAGATTTCTATGCAGATCACATCCTGAGAAACATAAGGCAGATCTTGACACTTTTAGTTCTGAGGCAGATTTTAACTCGGCCCTAATGTGAATATTGTAAGAGAATTCTAATGGCCTTTGATTTCTTATTGAGGGTGACACACGCCACGGTTATAATGCCTCAGCTACCCCTTTCATTCCAGCCAGTGTTTGGTTTACATGTACCACAGCCCAAGCAGCATCTGTCCTGTGGCAGGTTGGTCTTGGGGGTGGCAAGGAGAGGGGCAACTGCAAAGGCATGGTAGATGAACGTGTTTGGGAGGTTCCTAAGAGGATAGAAGACATTGTTTAGAAAAAAAAAATTCCCAAGCACCCAGGAAACTTACTTAATTCCCCTCTAATGCTGTTGGAAAATTGAATTTATTTGTGGAAACGTATTGGTCTGATTGGGGCAAATATGTCATTCTGAAATTCTCATCTCTTTGCTTTATTGAATTTTTTCATCAGTGGAATTTAAGCCCTTGGTACATGAGGAGGGAAATACCTCAGGTCTGTGCTATAAGTGTAAAGTACACAACGGATTTAGAGAAGTACCAAAGGAAGAATGTAAAGTGTCTCTTTAATTTTTGTGCAGTTATATGTTGAAGTGATAACATTTTATACTCTATGTAGATAGATATGTATGTCTATGTATATCTACGTAGATATATATACCTATGTATATATCTACATAGATCTGTATATATATACTATATATTTTTAAGTGTTTTTAACTTTATTATTTATTATTTTTTTAAGTAAGCCTGTGCCCCAAGCGAGGCTTGAACTCAAAAGCCCGAGATTAAGAGTTTCATGCTCTCGTGGGGAGCCTGGGTGGCTCAGTTGGTTAAGTGTCCAGCTTCAGCTCAGGTCATGATCTCACTCTCTGTGAGTTTGAGCCCCACACTGGTCTCTGTGCTGACAGCTCAGAGCCTGGAGCCTGCTTTGGATTCTATGTCTCTCCCTCTCTTTGCCCCTCCCCCACTTGCATTCTGTCTCTCTCTCAAAAAAAAAAAAAAAACTAAATTTAAAAAACTTTAATTTACTTGTTTCTTTTTAGTTTTTTAATATGGCTACCAGAAAACCCAAGATTCTGTATGTGGCTTGCATCTCTTTTGGATGGTGTTCCTTAGATTGTTCATTGTTCAGTATAAAAGACCACTTGGGGGGGGGGAGGCGCCTGGGTGGCTCAGTCGGTTAAGCAGCTGACTTCGGCTCGGGTCATGATCTCGCGGTCCGTGAGTTCGAGCCCCGAGTCAGGCTCTGTGCTGACAGCTTAGAGCCTGGAGCCTGTTTCGGATTCTGTGTCTCCCTCTCTCTCTGACCCTCCCCTGTCATGCTCTGTCTCTCTCTGTCTCAAAAATAAATAAACGTTAAAAAAAAAAAAAAAAAAAAGACCACTGGGAAGGTCCTGCCTGTGCTTTCCTGAATGTATGCTTGAGAGCTTGACAGTTGATAGCACCTTTGGGATCCTGCACCTTGGCAGTAGCAGGTGGGTTATTCTGTGTGTGTTCCCACAAAAGTGGGAAGGAACCTGCAGCACAGGCCTCTTAGTCGCTGTATGAAAACCTGATCCTGAACCACTTAGCTACCATTATACTTGCTGCTTGGGGAACAGAAGACCTATTGGTGTTTTGTTTTGTTTTGTTTTGTTTTGTTTTAATTTTTATTTTATTTTATTTTATTTATTTATTTTTTTAATTTTTTTTAACGTTTATTTATTTTTGAGACAGAGAGAGACAGAGCACGAATGGGGGAGGGTCAGAGAGAGAGGAAGACACAGAATCTGAAACAGGCTCCAGGCTCTGAGCGGTCCGCACAGAGCCTGACGCGGGGCTTGAACTCACGAACCACGAGATCATGACCCGAGCCGAAGTCGGACGCTTAACTGACTGAGCCACCCAGGCGCCCCTAATTTTTATTTTTGAGAGAGACAGAGGCAGAATGCAGGTGGGTTAGGGGCAGAGAGAGAGGGAGGCACAGAATCCAAAGCAGGCTCCAGGCTCCGAGCTGTCAGCACAGAGCCCGACGCAGGGCTCGAACCCACGAGGTGTGAGATCGTGACCTGAGCCGAAGTTGGAAGCTCAACCAACTGAACCAACTAGGCACCCCAAGACCTATTGGTTTTGTTACCAGTTTGCTCTGTAATTTTTATGATTTTTAAAATATTTATTTGTTTATGTTTATTTTTGAGAGAGAGAGAGAATGAGAGTGAGTGGGGGAGGGGCAGAGAGAGAGAGAGAGAGAGAGAGAGGGAGGGAGGGAGGGAGACACAGACAGGATCCAAGATGGGCTCTGCACTAATAGCACAGAGCCCAATGTGGGGCTTAAACTCACAAACCGTGAAGTCATGACCTGAGCCAAAGTTGGATGCTTAACTGACTGGGCCACTCAGGTGCCCTGACTCCGTAATTTTTATGAAAGGGGCAGTTATAAGGGTGCTTCTTCATGCCTCCTCTGAGAAATAAATAAAGAACTCTGGATAAGTGTACATGTTTGTGTGCCTTCAGTCTTTCATTAAATGTTCTCACAATCCCAGAGAACCATCTCAGTATACTTTGATCTGTACATATGTCACTCTTTGGCTATTACTCGTAGTCATTTTTACAACTTCTTAAGACTGCTCGGTCTGTACTGATGTTTCCATGGCGTGCCTGGGTGGCTCAGTTGGTTCAGTGTCCAGCTCTTGATTTTGGCTCAAGTCATGATCTCATGGTCGTTGCATAGAGCCCTTGTCCAGCTCTGCACTAGGCATGGAGCCTGCTTAAGATTCTGTCTTTCCCCCTCCCTCTGCCCCAATACCTGCTTTTGCGCTCTCTCTCTCAAAAAAAAAAAAAAAAAAGGGGGGGGGCGCCTGGGTGGCTCAGTTGGTTAAGCGTCTGACTTCGGCTCGGGTCATGATCTCACAGTCCATGAGTTTGAGCCCCGCGTCAGGCTCTGTGCTCACAGCTCAGAGCCTGGAGCCTGCATTGGATTCTGTGTCTCCCTCTCTCTCTGCCCCTCCCCTGCTCATGCTCTGTCTCTCTCTGTCTCAAAAATGAGTACAAACATTAAAAATTTTTTTGAAAAAAAAAAAGATATTTCCGTGACCCAAGCTATTCAGAAAGAGGACTAAAGGTGATTAGCCAGGTTGGTTTCTCATACCTGAGCATTTCCCGGGTGTATTCATGAGCTTGTATGCCTGGGGACAAAACTTGTATGCCTGGTATTTAGCATCTCTTCTTTCTCATCCCGGAATGAGAACTTTCAAAACAAAATTACTTTTCATTGAGTGGGAGAATCCCAGGCAGGTCCTTGCTTATACTTTTAAACCTGTATTCCTTGAGTTTTGCTCTCCGTCCTCCCTGAGCAGCCACATTCCGCATTTTGGTTTTAGTTTAGGGTTTGGTGTATATTCCTTCCAGTTCACCCACTGAAAAGGGGGGGACTGGGTGGAAAGGAAAGAGCTAACATCTGTTCAGCATCTGTTGTGTGCCAGGCACTGGGCTGGGTTCTTTGGAAATATCTCAATAACCATGAGAAATAGAAATTATGATCTCTTCCTCTGATGAGGAAGTGGAAACCTGGAAGTTATGTAATTTTTCAGCTTCACATACTTCTGGTAGATAATGGATTCTGGAACTTGGCAGAGGCCATGCTGACCTTGACATCCTAGCCAATAAGAAGTTGCGACGTGGTTCCAGAGTTAGAGACTGTGAATGTGTACGTATTGTTGTACACGGGGAGAAACACGCAGGGTCCTTTCCAAAGCATCTTTTATTCCTAAGCGCAGACCTGATGCCTGTGTTGGGTAGGTGGGGTGTTTCTAGATTTTTGACTCCTACTTGGGCTTGCAGTGACCATATGAACACTTTGGTTTACAGCTGGGACCCCTGACTCCCGCAGGATGGCCCAATGGAATCAGCTACAGCAGCTCGACACACGGTACCTGGAGCAGCTTCATCAGCTGTACAGTGACAGCTTCCCAATGGAGCTGCGGCAGTTTCTGGCCCCTTGGATTGAGAGTCAAGATTGGTAAGTCCTTCCTGAGAAACTCCCCAAATTGTCAGGTTTTGGTTTGAGTCAAGAGACATAACGTGCTGTAGCTTCATTCTGTGCTACCTATTTCATCAAAAAACTTAGGGGTGTAGGTGGTGGGGTGAAAGAGATCAGGAGATAAAGAGGTACTCTCGGTCTTGTAAAAATGTTTTCTGTATTAGAAGTGTGTGCGGGCAACTGTCTCTTGGCACACTGAAGCAGCCTGCTTGGTGGTGGATGTTTTGAAGGCTGATTTGGATCTCATTGACTTGGTGAGATCCTCTGTGTGTTCTGACACTCCAGGCATGTGCTACAAATGTTTTTTATCTCAGTGAAAGTTCTGGCATGGGTAGAGATTCAGGCCCATAATTCTGATTCCCTTTTAGTTATAGGAAGAGACACAGATAAGAGAAATAGACTCTTTCATAGAGGAGATAATGGCACAGAATTCCAATGACTGTTTCCTTCATTTTAATGTGTTCAGATCCACCTATTAATTTTCATTTAATTCCGGCCTGTGACCTAGTTTTTCTAGAGTTTGGTGAGGGGCCAGGGAGATGATGCAGAGAGGATGGAGATAGACCGTGCCAGCCTGGGATTGCTTATTAGCTACTACTAATCTGACCTCAGAGCTAAGAATTTAAAAGCACAACAGCGTATCTGCCCACTTCACCTGAATAGTTTTTTTTTTTTTTTCAACGTTTATTTATTTTTGGGACAGAGAGAGACAGAGCATGAAGGGGGGAGGGGCAGAGAGAGAGGGAGACACAGAATCGGAAACAGGCTCCAGGCTCCGAGCCATCAGCCCAGAGCCTGACGCGGGGCTCGAACTCACGGACCGCGAGATCGTGACCTGGCTGAAGTCGGACGCTTAACCGACTGCGCCACCCAGGCGCCCCTCACCTGAATAGTTTTATAAGTATAGACTCTGACAGTGGCTACTGGGATCTGGAATAATTGTTAATAATCATTGAATTCATAATATTTCTTGTTGCTCAGCAAGATGAATCTAAGTGATGAGTGGGTTAAAGCATCGGCTTTGCCTTGTTTTCTACCCTCCTTGATGGTGGTTTCTATGCGTGTGCATGCACATGTGTGTGTGTAGGTTTCAGAATCATTCTGTATCCTTCTTCCTTTTCCTAGGGCATATGCGGCCAGCAAAGAATCACATGCTACTTTGGTGTTTCATAATCTCTTGGGTGAGATTGACCAGCAGTACAGCCGTTTCCTACAGGAATCGAATGTTCTCTATCAGCACAATCTGCGAAGAATCAAGCAGTTCCTTCAGGTGTGATGAGAAACTTGACCCCGCAGAGTAGGGTGTTCACTTTCTGTCCAGGAAGTATTTCTTTTCTCATTTGGCTAAGTATTGAGATCCTATCTTGTACTTTCAAAGGAGAAGCTAGTAGCCCTTTCTCAAACCAATGTATACCCACCCTTGAGCATCTTTATCTGAAATCTACTTCTTTTGTCTGTTGAGGTAATGCTAGGATTGTTATGTTAATTATATTATGTTAGCATGTTAATAACATGATCAGTAACTAGTGGTTTCATAGGAAGATGAGTTATTTTTATTTTTTAATTTTTATTCATTTTTTAAGAAACTTAAAAAAAATGTTTATTTTTGAGAGAGAGAGAGAGAGAGCGCGCGCACAAGCAGGGGAGGGACAGAGAGAGAGACACACAGAATCTGAAGCAGGCTCCAGGCTCTGAGCTGTCAGCACAGAGCCTGGTACAGGGCTTGAACCCACGAACCGTGAGATCATGACCTGAGCCGAAGTCGGATGCTCAACTGACTGAGCCACCCAGGTGCTCCAGTGACTTATTTTTAAATGTTAAATGTTTGACCATAACTGGATACTCTTAGACAAAGTCTGTTGCCTTTGACCTGGATAACATACTGTCCAAAGACTCAGACTAACATGTCTTCAGTCACAGGTGTACGGCTCATTGTGACAATCTTTTTCCTGTTCGCCCCTTCATCTCCCGCTGGTGGGGGTCAGGCTCTGAGGCCCTCGTTTTATTGTTTCATATAGTAGATGTAATGCTCATCAATCTATGAGGAAGTTAGCTTTAAGTTAGCAAAGTTGGATCCGCATTTCCTTAGTCTGCTGCTACTACTTTTCATTCTCTCTCTCCCACCTACAGAGCAGGTATCTGGAGAAGCCAATGGAGATTGCCCGAATTGTGGCCCGGTGCCTGTGGGAAGAGTCCCGCCTGCTCCAGACTGCAGCCACTGCAGCCCAGGTGAGCCGTGGGAAGAAGCAAAGCACTATTGAAGATGTGCTTTCCTTCTGACGTTCAAAGATGTGCTTGCTCTTACCCAGTTGTTAGGGCGTGCACCGACCTCCATGGTAGAAGTGGGTGTTTTGGTGTTTTTTCTTCTATCCAATGAAAAGAATTCATTTTTTTTTTCTTGGGTATATAATGTACTCTCCTTTAAAAAAAAAAATTTTTTTTAACATTACACAATGGTACAGGGAAGAAAGTTTTACAAAAATCTGCAATGTCACTCCCTTCCTTTATTATCTCTTCCCAGGAAACCAACATTAATAGTGTGGTATATATGGTTTCATACCTTTATCCAGACTCATATAGATTACAGAAAATACACATGTACACACACACACACACACACACACACACACATCATATTTAAATGGGTTTACTTCTCTGCCTCTTGCTTTTTTCATTTAATATTATGTCATATAAATCCTTCTAAGTCCAGTAGTGTAAAGCTAACTCATTTTCTTTATTTGCTCAATAATATTCTGTGGTATAGATTTGCTATACTTTATTCAATTATTCTTTCTTTGACATTTGCTTCATCCTGGTTTTCTTCCCCCCATTATAAACACTACTGCAATGTCTCCCTATACAACTTTATGTTTGCACTTTGATTTCTCTATGATAAATTTCCAGGCATGGAATTGCTGGGTCAAAGGGTATATATATTTTAGTTTTATAGATCTAGATTCCCTTCTCTAAAGACTGTACCAGTTCACGTTTGCACGAGTGGGGTATGATAAGATACTGTTCCTGGGTGCCACCTTGGATATTATTTGAGACTGAATCATTCAGGTTCATGTGCATTTCTCTTTTGTGCTTAAGTTGGAGAATATCCTCACTAGAGCTAGAGATGTGGTTAGCCTAGGGGATAGAGAGAACATGACACTAACTTCCACTGGGAAACAGTTCCATGCCACTGGCCCCATCACTTCTGTTGTTATATGACAGACATATCACTTATATTGATATATGATAGACATATCTATCTAGAACATCTAATATATTATCTATGTAAATATCTAAAATATCTATAACATCCAATCTATTATGTGTGTATGTGTGGATATATCTTACTGTGTTGTGCTAGTTATCATGACCCCTTGCTTTAGAGGAGGTTGTGGTCTGGGAGAAACAGAAAAATCAAACAATTTTATAATGCAATAAAATATAAAATTAAAATATACTAAAAAAGAAGAACGAAACTTAAATAGATCAGTGACCATAAATATATATTGAAAAAGACTTTTATTTATTTATTTATTTTTTTTAATTTTTTTTTAACGTTTATTTATTTTTGAGACAGAGAGAGACAGAACATGAATGGGGGAGGGTCAGAGAGAGGGAGACACACAGAATCCGAAACAGGCTCCAGGCTCTGGGCTGTCAGCACAGAGCCCGACGCGGGGCTCGAACTCACGGACCGCGAGATCATGACCCGAGCCGAAGTCGGCCGCTCAACCAACTGAGCCACCCAGGCGCCCCGAAAAAGACTTTTAAAAAACTGTACACTCCCTTTCCCACCAAAAAAAAGCCAATAGTCCCGATGGTTTAAAAGTTGTATTTTAACGGACTTTCATGGTATGGATTGTTCTGTTATCATTCAAACTCTTCCAAAGTCTAGAAAGAAAAGAGATGTTTCCAACTTATTTTATGAGGCTGGAATAATCCTAATATCAAAACCCAAAAAAGACAGTGTAAGTAAAGAAAATGATTATGATTTTGGTATCCTAGTTAGCGTACCAACCATGGCTTATATTCTAGGAGTGCAAGGATGGCTCAACATTAGGAATTCTATTAATGTAATTCATTAAATTAGTAAGATAAAGAAGAAAACCCTCATTTTTGTTAGACAACAAATGTAGTGTCCATTCTAGGTAAGAAGTAAGAAACTTTCTTAACACAGTAAATAATATTTGTCAGAACTTTAGCACAATAAAGAATATTTGTCAGAAATCAAACAGAACAGTATGCACATGATGGAACACTAAACTATTCTCATTAAAAGCAGTTACAAGATTGAGGATGCCTCTTGCCATTAATGTTTTTCTGAAGGATTCAGCCAATACAGTAAGACAGAAAAAGGAATGAGGGCATAAATGTTGGAAAGCTAGAGACAAAATTGTCATTATTTGTAGATGGATAGGGCTTCCTACAAGATCCAAGGGAAATAATTAAAAAGAAACAAAAACCAAAAAACAAAAACACCACTATTGGAGGGGCACCTGGGTGGTTCAGTCGGTTAAGTGTCTGACTCTTGATTTTGGCTTGGGTCATGATCCCACGGTTCCTGGGTTTGAGCCCTGCATACACCTCTATGCTGACAGGAGCCTGCTTGCAATTCTCCCTCCTTCTGTCTCTCCCCCTCCCCTGCTCACGCTCTTTCTCTCTCTCTCTCTCAAAATAAATAAGCTGAGAAAAAAAAAAAGAAAAAGAAATAAGCTATTGGAACTAACAAGAGTTTAGGAAGATGAATGCATTCAGGATAAATATTTTAAGAATTTTATCTAGTTTTATTTATTTATTTATTTATTTATTTATTTATAATTTTTATTTTATATTTTTGAGAGAGACAGAGTGCGGGGGAGGAGCAGAGAGAGAGGGAGACACAGAATCTGAAGCAGGCCCCAGGCTCTGAGCTGTCAGCACAGAGCCCAGCATGGGGCTCAAACCCACGAACCGTGACATCATGAGCTGAGCTGAAGTTGGATGCTCAACTGACTGAGCCACCCAGGCATCTCTATTTATTTCTTTCTGAGAGAAAGAGAGAGAATCCCATGAGGTTCAGAGAGAGAAGGAAAGAGAGTCAGAGCTCGGAGCGGGGCTAGAGCTCACCTGATGTGGGGCTCAAACTCATGAACCGTGAGATCATGACCTGAGCCAAAACCAAGAGTCAGACGTTCAACCGACTGAGCCAGCCAGGTGCCCCACCATTGTAACCATTTTTAAGCATATAGTTCAGTAGTGTTAAGTTCAATAACATTATTGTGCAACCTGTCTCCAGAATGCTTTTCATCTTGCAAAAGTAAAATTCTGTACCCATTAAACAGTCGCTCTTTTTCATTCCCCTTTTATTCTAGTCACTGGCAACCACCATTCTACTCTCTGTCTCTGTGAATTTGACTACTCTGGGGACCTTATTAGAAGTGGAATCATAACACTGTTTGTATTTTTGTGACTGGTTTATTTCGCTTACCGTAATTCCTCAGAGTTCATCCTTGTTATATCACATGTCAGAATTTCCTTCCTTTCAAAGACTAAATAATGTCCCACTATGTATACCCCATTTTGTTTATCCATTTGTCTGTTGAGGGACACTTGGGTGACATCCACCTTTTGACTCTTGTGAATAATGCTGTTATGAACATAAGTGTACCATTTTTTTCTCTTACAAGACAAAGATGTAGCAGGAACATAGAAGAAAGGACATTTAAGTCTAACTGAGGGAGTCAGGGAAGGTATCACGGAGAGAGAGATTGTGTTTGAGCCAAGATGCAAGGCTGATTACATGTGCACCAGGCTGATGAGGAGAGAGCCCTCCAGGCAGAGAGAAGATCGTGTTCAGACAGGGAAACCTTAACGTGTGTATTCTTTTTTTTTTTTTTAATTTTTTTTTTTTCCAACGTTTATTTATTTTTGGGACAGAGAGAGACAGAGCATGAATGGGGGAGGGGCAGAGAGAGAGGGAGACACAGAATCGGAAACAGGCTCCAGGCTCCGAGCCATCAGCCCAGAGCCTGACGCGGGGCTCAAACTCACAGACTGCAAGATCGTGACCTGGCTGAAGTCGGACACTCAACCGACTGCGCCACCCAGGCGCCCCTTAACGTGTGTATTCTTGGGAGGAGTGCGGAAAATTCAGCATCTGGTTGGATAAGGAATGATCAGCTAGTCAAGGGCCATATTGTGAACATCTCTTTAGTCATGCCCAACAGCTGGGCTTTGGAAGAGCAGTTTGCTGCAAGGGTCCTGTGGCCAGACTGCCTGGGTTTGAGCCCCATAGCTATGCCACTTGCTGTGGAGCCTCAGGCAATGGGGGTGTTCCTCTAGTGGGAATGACTATAGTTCCTACTTCATGGAGCTAAATTAATTCATGCCTGTAAAATGCTTAGAACGGTGCCTGACACATGTGAAATGAGCATTAACTGCTTTCTGCTGCTGCCGTCACAATCACTGTCACCACTCCTGTAAGAAACGGGAACCCACGGAAGAACTTTAAGTGGAAACTGCCGTGCTCCGATATGGGTGAAAGGGTAACTGATAACACTCACTGTTTGAGACACTGGAGATAGGGAGGTTGTCCAGGCATCACTAGAGCTTTCTGTTGGGGAGAACCTTTATGTTTGCATCCTGTCCCATAAGATAAAAATATTCGATTTAAGCCAATTTGGGTAGAGGCTCCAACTTTATTTATCATGAGAGGTAGGTGCCCTAAGGATGTTCCCAATCTTAGAGGTCAGGCGTTGGCAAACTATGCCCGTGGCTCAAATCCAGCCTGCCATGCCTGATTTTGCAAACGAAATTTTGGGGAACACAGCCACACCCATTTACGTATGCCTTGTCCGTGGTTGCCTTCATGCTGCGGTGACAAGGCTGAGTATTTACAACAGAGCCTGTATGACCCACAAAGCCAAAAATATTTACCACCTGGCCTTTTTAGAAAAAGTTGCAGCCCTTGATCTAGAACTACAAGTTGGATATTTGAGGCTTCAGCCCAGGCCCTACTGTTATTTTCTCTGTTGTCATCATCTGGCATATTTTGAAGTGTCTCTTATGGGCAAAGCACCAGGAGATAGGAAGACGAGTAGATGTGATCCCTGCTAATCATTGCTCTCAGTCTAGTTGGGATTGAAGGTATACAGACAGTCAAAGTGAGAGAAACATAGAGGAAGATGTGAGTAATCTTGCCTACAGTAGTTGAATAAGGTTTTACAGGAGAGCAAATGGTGGCACTGAGTTTGAAGGTGAATAAGTTCAGGTGTGCTTGTGCAGAAGCACATGTCAGGCAGAGCAGACAGTGTGTGGGGAGGTAGAGTGTGAAAAACATGCTGTATGTGGGGAAGAGTGGGTAGTTTGGGGTGACCGACAGGGAGGGAAGGCTTAACTTGTTACCAGATTATGTGAAACGTCTGTCTGTGCTGGGCTGAGATGATATACCTGGAATCAGTGGGGAGCCAGTAGTTCTTACAAGGGTACTAGAGGCGGGCTTCTGTGGGTGGTAATCAATCACATCCTTTCCCCTTTAAGTGCAATGGCAATTTAGAAATAGACGTGGCAGTCAAACACAGACTAAAATATCTGCTGTACTGTTGGTCAAATGAGACTGGAAAACATAGTTTGGGCAGGTAACCACGAGGGATTCCAGATGCCTGCCCCTGTGTTAGATGTTGGGATGGAGAGATTGGGTTTGCAGAGCAGTATACATCCATGTGGAGTTTCAGAGACCATAGACTAATACCCACTTAACACTGAGAGATGGATCTCTAGAACCACTTCTAGAAACCAGGCCCTCGCTCCTGCCCTGGGTTGCCCCAGGAAGGCAGAGGTGGAGGAGAGAGGCACCAGCTAACATGCTGGGTTCTTCGAAGATCTGTGAGTGCAGAGTGTTTCTCTTAATCTCACCGATCAGATGAGTCACTCCCCCTATGAAGAGAATAAATAAGGGTGGAGGTTGCCTTCCCTAAACTTCTCAGGGAAGTTTGTGTTCTCTGGATTTGGATGGGGGCCGTGGGAGAGGGAGAGAATGGATCCCTCTAGAACTGGCCTGTTTGGATCACTTTTGAAGACTCCTGGTAGCAGTATAGAGAACAGATTAGAAGTCAGAGAGATCAGTAGTTGGGGCTTGACATGAGCCAGCGGCACAAATAGAGATCTGTTTGCAAGATTACAGAACCTAAAGCCAGGAGAATCCGGTGACTCAGTGTGAAGTCTGTCTTTGCGAATTTCTGCTTTGAAAAACTGGGTCTATAATGTCTTTCCTAGACTCTCAATTCGGTTCTGTTGATGGATTCCTCAGTCCTATGCCAGCAGACTGTCTTGATCACTGCAGCTTTTATGTGGTCTTTTAAAAAATTTTTAATTTATTCGTCTTAAGTAATCTCTACACCCAACGTGGGGCTCAAATTCACCACCCTGAGATCAAGTGCTACACGCTCCTTTGACTGAGCCAGCCAGGAGCCCAGATTTTCTGTTACTTTGACAGAATGTACCATGTTTATATTCCAGGGGCTCTCCGACCTTTTCAAGGCACCACCCTTCCCTTCTCCCCTGAGGTGTTCTCTCTTCATGTAGCATTTCGCCTCTGGAACAGTGGTTTTTTATTATCCCACAAAAATGTGTCGGGCACCACCTACACTAAATGGGCATCGAAAATCTGCTGTCATAATTGTTCTGAATTTTTTAACATATGTTACCTAGAATGAAGTTTTTGCAGGTAGGGACCATGTCTTAGCTCAACATGTGGTCTCCTAGGGCGACACAGAGTGGCTTTTTAGTGTGGCCTGGGGCAAAAAAAGGCCAGGACACGGGCAGAACTACGGGAGAGCCTCCTGGGCACCGTGCTGATGACGCCCGGCACGCTGCCTCTGTTTCCCTTCCCCTCACGGCGGCAGCAGCACCTCAGCCAGACGGGAAGGGTGTGGGTGGGATGGAGACTGGACAGAGGTGCTTTTTTTCCCCCACGTTTCCTGCATTCACACGGGTGTTCGCTCCCTTATTTGGCAGCAAGGGGGCCAGGCCAACCACCCCACGGCCGCCGTGGTGACGGAGAAGCAGCAGATGCTGGAGCAGCACCTGCAAGATGTTCGGAAGCGAGTACAGGTGAAGCAAGTCGTGGGCAGGAAGCCTTTCCTTGGGGACATTGCCTGTGGGTCCTGCGTGTGTCTCTGTTGAGGTTTTGGCTTCGTTTTAATTCTCAGAAACTTTCTTTTCCCTCTTCCCCCGGGAAAATCTTTTTTTTTTTTTTTTACTTCTATTTTTCTTTTTTGTTTTGTCTTAAACAGGACCTAGAACAGAAAATGAAAGTGGTAGAGAACCTCCAGGATGACTTTGACTTCAACTATAAAACCCTCAAGAGTCAAGGAGGCAAGTGACTATTAGAGACGTTAAAATCTGCTGTAGAAAGTGAGTGACTTGAGTTTCAGGACTTCTGTGTCTGGCGTCCCGTTCAGACTTGGTGGCAGGGGCGGGGGTGGGCGTTGGCACACGGGGGTGGGGGGATGGGGGGGTAACCGCTGCCTCCGGGAGCCAGATGTGAAGCGTGCCAGTATCCCGTCAGGTCAAGGAGGTTTTCCTTCATCCGCAGACATGCAGGATCTGAATGGAAACAACCAGTCCGTGACCAGGCAGAAGATGCAGCAGCTGGAACAGATGCTCACGGCGCTGGACCAGATGCGGCGCGTAAGAGCATCCCCCTCACCTGCGCGGCCGCCACGCCTTGTGGCAGACCTTGCCTGGTTTCTAATAAGCTCCTTTTCTGGAAGTGACTAAAGAGTGTGGTTAGAGGCGGTCTGAGGAAATGTTTTCTGACTTTGTTTGGGTTTCCAACCAGAGCATCGTGAGTGAGTTGGCGGGGCTGTTGTCAGCCATGGAGTATGTGCAGAAGACGCTCACGGATGAAGAGCTGGCTGACTGGAAGAGGCGGCAGCAGATTGCGTGCATCGGGGGCCCGCCCAACATCTGCCTCGACCGCCTAGAAAACTGGTAAGAGATGACAGAGACGTTTTCCCTTTCTTTCTAGAAAGCTGTGCTGAAATCCTGGTCGTAACTGCAGGCCTCCGGGGCTGGTGCTCCGTCTCCAAGGTGGAGACTTTTTTATATTCAAATCGAGTCTGAGAGTCTAAAGAGTTTCACCTTTTTGGACACCTTTTTTTTTTTTTTTTTTTTTTTTTAATTTTTTAAATGTTTATTTTTTTGAGAGACAGAGACAGAGCGTGAGCAGGGGAGAGACAGAGAGAGAGAGGGAGACACAGAATCCGAAGCAGGCTCCAGGCTCTGAGCTGTCAGCGCAGAGCCCGATGTGGGGCTTGAACTCACGTGAGATCGTGACCTGAGCCTAAGTCGGATGCTTAACTGACTGAGCCACCCAGGCACCCCTGGACACCTTTTTGATAAAAATGTGTTTATGTTACTATATTTTAAGTACATATATATATATATATATATTTATTATTTATTTTTTTTTTAAATTTATTTCAAGTTAGTTAACATACAGTGTAGTATTGGCTTCAGGAGTAGAACCCAGTGATTGGTCTCTTACATATAAGCATGTTTTATTTAATAGCTTAAATAAAGCTTTTGGTGTAACTATGTGGCACAGACTAAAGTTTGAGTTTTAGTTATTTTAATAATCTAAAATAATACATGCTCTTTATAAAGGAAAAAAATTCAAATACAAAAAATTAATAGAAAGAGGAAAAGTCTTTTAAAAAACCAATCATTCAGAGGTACCTATAGTTAAAATTTCGATGACCATTCCTCTGGACGTTTGTTATTGTACATATATATGTAAAGAGAGTCATCTACGTTTCTTTCTTTTTTTTAAATGTTTTTATTGATTTTTGAGACAGAAAGAGACAAAGCATGAGCAGGGTAGGGGCAGAGAGAGGGGGAGACACAGAATCTGAAGCGGGCTCCAGGCTCTGAGCTGTCAGCACAGAGCCCGATGCAGAGCTCGAACTCACAAACTGTGAGATCATGACCTGAGCCAAAGTCAGACGCTTAACCGACTGAGCCACCCAGGCACCCATCTTTTTTATTTAATTTTGGTTATCTTTTTAAAATTTTTAAATTAAAAAAAATTTTTTTAAGTTTATTTATTTATTTTGAGAGGGAGAGAGAGAGAGGAAGAGAGAGAATCCCGAGCAGGTTCCACACCATCAGCACAGAGCCCTATGTGGGGCTCGATCTCACAAACTGTGAGAGCACAACTTGAGCTGAAATCAAGAGTCAGACACTCAACCAACTGAGCCACCCAGGCGCCCCTTGGTTACCTTTTTTTTTAATGTTTGTTTATTTATTTTGAGATGGTCACAGAGAGAGAGGTAGAGAGGGAATCCCAAGCAGGCTCTGTGCTGTCAGCACAGAGTCTGACACAGGACTCAGTCTCATGAACGCTGAGATCATGACCCAAGCCGAGATAAAAAGTCAGACGCTTAACTCACTGAGCCACCCAGGCGCCCCAGTGGGATCATTCTTTATCTGCTCTTCTGCTTTCATTCATGCAGCAGGTCTTGGTGAATATCCTTGATGTGCAAGGCCCAGCAGTGAACATGATGCACCAGCTTAAATTATGAGAAACTTGACATAAAGGGGAACCACCAGACACATAGAGCATGAAATTGGAAATTTAGGACATCTCTGCCTGAGAAAGCCTGTTTGTTCGTATCCTCACTAACCCTGAGTTTTGTCAACTTACTGAAAGTTGTTTTTTTTTTTTTAATTTTTTTTTTTCAACATTTATTTATTTTTGGGACAGAGAGAGACAGAGCATGAACGGGGGAGGGGCAGAGAGAGAGGGAGACACAGAATCAGAAACAGGCTCCAGGCTCTGAGCCATCAGCGCAGAGCCTGGCGCGGGGCTCGAACTCCCGGACCGCGAGATCGTGACCTGGCTGAAGTCGGACGCCTAACCGACTGCGCCACCCAGGCGCCCCTGAAAGCTGTTTTAAGTGCTTTCTGATCAGGGAACCAAAAAGCTTGAGTTCTGGAAATAGGAGAACGGAAGTGCCAGAAGAGAGTCAGGGAGCCCAGAAATCCCAGCAGCTGCCCTGTTCCTTACCCCCCCAACCCTAAAATCTTTCACTTTCTCTCTTTGAGGTCTTTTAGTCCTTTATTAATCATGTAGTTCAGCCCCTTCTTTCATGCAAGGGGACATCGAGGTCCGCATAGTGAAGGGACCTGGCCAGGATTGCTCAGACAGTGAGCGGCAGAACGAGCTCAAACCCATCTTCTTGGGCCACTTAATTGTCAGCCTTTCCCCAGTCCCCCCATTTTGGTCCAAGGACAGGTTAGGATGAAGACCGTGCCAGATTTCATATTTCACATTCTCCATTGCTGGGTTCCAATGCTTGTTACCTCCTGATGATAACTCCGTTCATGCTTCTTAGGGGTATGTTTTAACACTTCTTCCTTATGCCTAGCTCCCTCTCTGAAATGTTAAATTTGAGGAAGGTATTATTTAAAATAATAATAATAATAATAAAAGAAATTCCCTTTTGCTTATTTTCGTTTTATTTTATTTTTTAAACATGTTTTTAATGTTAGTTACTTTCGAGAGAGAGAGACAGAGACAGAGCGCAAGCAAGGAAGGGGCAGAGAGAGAGGGAGACACAATCCAAAGCAGGCTCCAGGCTCTGAGCTGTCAGCACAGAGCCCGACGCGGGGCTCAAACTCATGAACCATGAAATCATGACCTGAGCCAAAGTCAGACGCTCAACCGACTGAGCCACCCAGGCGTCCCTATTTTATTTTTCAGTAAGCTCTATGCCCAACGTGGGGCTTGAACTCAGGGCTTGACCCGGAGATCAGCTGTCACATGCTCTACCGCCTGAGCCAGCCAGGCTCCCCCCACCCACCTCCACTTTTCCTTACTTAATGCCAATGATTTATGCTATGTATATTTTACCACAGTAAAAAAAAAAAAAAAAAAAATGACCCTTTCTTATTTTAGGGGACTGCATGGTGGTGGGATTCCCTTCCGCTTCTCTAACCCTCACTGGTGCCGCACTCAGGTGCCTGGTAGCTTTCTTATTTTATTGGCAGGATAACCTCGTTAGCGGAATCTCAACTTCAGACGCGCCAACAAATTAAGAAACTGGAGGAGTTGCAGCAAAAAGTGTCCTACAAAGGGGATCCCATTGTACAGCACCGGCCAATGCTGGAGGAGAGGATTGTGGAGCTGTTTAGAAACTTAATGAAAAGGTAACTTAGAATTGTTTCTCTCATCACTGCCCCTCCCCCGCCACATACACCTCCTTCACTTTGGAGGCACAGGACAAAGACCGTTTCACCAGGAAGCTTATGGACTGCCGTCCTTCTCTGTGCTTTTCAGTGCCTTTGTGGTTGAGCGGCAGCCCTGCATGCCCATGCATCCCGACCGGCCATTGGTCATCAAGACTGGCGTCCAGTTCACTACCAAAGTCAGGTGGGCCCTGTCCTTCCTCTTCTGGTAGATACATCACTGAGAGATGCTCTTAGGATGAAAGAGAGTTGGTGGCCAGGGTTGTTCTTTCCAGGCATCACAGGCGATAGTATGGTGGGTATGGAATTTGTTGGCATAATATCAACTTGCTCTTTGACTCTTCTGTCAGAAGTGAAGGAACGGTTACCTCTTTTCGAGGTTACGTGGGCATCTTCCTGAAATGTCAAGCCCACGGTCTTAGTTCGTTGTGTCTCCTTCTGCCCTGCAAGGGAGGCAAAATAATGCTGGTTATTTTCTGTTCTCTGAGCCTACTTTTCCCTGAGGATTTTAAGGGAAAGAGAAAGGCTTAGTGATCTAGAAGCTAAGAGGTAATTAGAGCAGGTGGGTGGTGAGCCTGGAGGGTGGGGTGTGACTTTCACACCCAAGTCAGAACAGGTGCTTTGGGGTTTGCCCTTCCGTAGTGAAATTTCCCTCTTCAGAAGCTTGGTGTATGGCGTTAGGTTTCAGGTTTAATAGAAGGAATACCAGCTGCAGAGCACGTATTCCCGTAATATTTCTCATGAAATGGCTTTTATTATCCTTCGCTGAATCTCTCACAACCTTGTCCAAGTTCGGATTTCTTAGGCTTTCTTTTCAGGAGCTCTTGACCTGAAGGGGTGATACTCAACATAAGGTCAAAGACGGCACTAAGCAGGAAGAGGGATTTGGGATTGTGCTTCATTCACCTTTTAGAAATAAAGCGTTGTGAATTTTATATTCCTTCAAGTAGACGTTGCTGGGGGAGCCTACTGACTTTTCTTTGAAACTGATTTTTTTTTTCCTTTACTCAGAAACTTTTTTTTTCCCCTCTTTTTTGAAATAGATTGCTGGTCAAATTCCCTGAGTTAAATTATCAGCTTAAAATTAAAGTGTGCATTGACAAGTAAGTACTCCGTATCTTTGCTCTTTTTTTCTCTTTTTTTCAAATGAGAGACAGAGAAATGAGAACTTTAACAGATACCATGTGAACTTAGAGACTGTTTCCATTCAAGGAGCTTCATTTATTGAACAAAAATTGTCAGAAGCCTTGCCCTGACCAAAACCACAAAGCTAGTGGTACAGATATGAGTTTCAATTGCTATTGTGACTCTGGGTCCCTCTTTTTCTTTAATTTTTTACTTGTAAGTGTAATTTATGCATGTCATATAAAACCCTGACTATATGGGGAAAAGTTGACGGTTTTTATTGTTCCACACTTCACCACGCAATGGAATACATCCTTTTCTTTCTTTTTTTTTCTTTTTTTAATGTTTGTTTATTTTTGAGAGAGAGACAGAACGTGAGCAGGGGAAGGGCAGGAGGGAGACAGAATCCGAAGCTGGCTCCAGGTTCTAAGCTGTCAGCACAGAGCCTGACGTGGGGATCGAACGAACCCGTGAACCGCGAGATCATGACCTAAGCCAAAGTCAGATGTTTAACCAATTGAGTCACCCAGGCACCCCTCGGGTACATACTTTTCAAAATTTGGCAATACCTTTCAAAAATTAAAATGCACATATACTTTGAAGAGGTTTGAAAAAGGAAAATGTATCCTTAATTTTTGGTGACGTAATTATCTGGAAATCATGAAGAGAATGAACTGGAAAATAATTACTAATGAAATAAGGGACTTGAAGAAGGTAGTAGTCTTTTTTTTTTTTTACATTTATTTATTTTTGAGAGAGAGAGACAGAGCACAAGTGGGGGAGGGGCAGAAAGACAAGGAGACGCAGAATCAGAAACAGTCTCCAGGTTCTGAGCTGTCAGCACAGGGGCTCGACGTGAGGCCCAAACTCACAAGCCATGATATGACCTGAGCTGAAGTCGGACGCTCAACCAACTGAGCCACCCAGGCGCCCAGGAAGGTGGTAGTCTTAATAAAAATAAACAAAAATTAATAACTTCAACCACATATTAGCGTAATCTCACAATAAGCAACAAAAGTAAAAAATATATTGTGATAAACATAACAGAAATGTGTAAGATCTATTTGAAGAAAATTATGAAATTTTATCAGGAGGGGATATTGTAAAAAGTGATAAGACAGATCATATTCCTGGATTGTGGATTTTTATCATAAAGATGTTAATTCTTCTCAGTTAATATGACACCAAGCAAAATGTGAATAGAATTTTTTAAACCTTTGACTTGCTTTTCAAGTTGTATCTTAGATGAGAAAAATAAGCAAAGAAAGGTTTTTTAAATTTTTTTTAACGTTTGTTTTTGAGAGAGAGAGAGACAGAGTGCAAGTGGGGGGAGGGGCAGAGAGAGAGGGAGCTAATCCAAAGCAGGCTCCATAGCACAGAGCCCAATGCGGGGCTTGAACTCAGGATCATGACCTGAGCTGAAGTCAGACACTTGACTGATTGAGCCACCCAGGTGCCCCTGTTTTGTTTTGTTTGTTTTTTCTTTTTTAAAGGATGTATTTGGGGGTATCTGGGTGGCTTAATAGGTTAAACATCAGACTCTTGGTTTTGGCTCAGGTCATGATCTCACAGTTCGTAAAATGGAGCCCAGCATAGAGCTTCGCGCTGGGTGTGGAGCCTGCTTAGGATTCTCTCTCCCCCTCTCTCTGCCCTTTCCCCATTCACGTATGTGTGTGCTCTTTCTCTCTCTCAAAATAAATAAATAAACTTAAAAAAAACCAAATATTTATAAACGTAAATAATGAAAATAAAAAAGGGTGTGCTATTTTTAATTATGATAAAAAATTAATATATAAAATTTACCTTTTTGATTATTTTTAAATGTATGGCATTGTGTATATTCACACTGCTGTGCAGCAGATTTCCAGAACTGCTTCCTTGTGCGACATGGAAACTTTACATCCATTGAACGACAAATCCCCATTTCCCTATCCTCCTAGCCCCGGGCAACCACCATTCCACTTTCAAAAACATTTTTTTAGTGACTAAAAATAATGGGAAGCTGCCTTGCCAGACATTAAAATGTATCACAGAGTTTCAGTTACTAAATGTGTGTGTTACTAGGGCAGGAATAAACTGATCATGGCAGCAAAATCTTGAGTCCAGAAATGGGCTTCAAGTTTATATAAATAATTAATATACGTTAAAAATGACATGTCAAATCAGTTAGTAAAGGATGGAGTATTCAGGAAGTAGTTTTGGGACAACCTGATATTGGGGGCAGGGGGGATTTGAATGAGAAATTAGCGTTTTATGTTTTGCTGTCCATCAGATGTATTTATATGTTTCAGCTAATGTATCTTAAAAGCATAGGTGAACGTATAACATAATGATGGTAAAATGGCAAAATGGTACAGCCATTCTGGGAAAAGAGCTTGGCAGTTTCCTACAAAGTTAAACATGTACCTACCCTATAAGCCTACCATTCCACTCTTCAGTATTAACCCAAGAGAAACGAAAGCATATGTGCACGCAAAGGGCTGTACGTAAATGTCCATTAACAGGCGAGTGAATAGACACCTTGTGGCATATCTGTAAGTAGCTTGCGCTGACCGATTGCTCCACTGTTGCTTCGTAATTTGTGGTCTATCCATAAATGAAATATCACTTCCCAATAAAGAGGACTGAACGTTGATACCAGCCACACATGAGAAGTCTCAAAATAATTACACTGAGTGAAGGAAGCCAGACCAAGAAAAAACAATACATACTTCCATTCGTATAGAATCCTAGAAATACAAATGCACCTATAGTGACTGAAAGCAGACCAGTGATTGCCTGGGGACAAAGGTGGGGTGGAGTGTGGGATTGGGAAATGGATTACAAATGGGCTTGGGGAAACTTTGGGGACGTTGGATATGTTCATCACCTTGTTTGGGCTGATGATTTCATAGGTGTGTGTAGTGTATATAGGTGTGTGTCAAATCTTACCCAAATACATTTTCAATAGTGTACTTTATTATTCATCAATTACATGTCAAAGCTGTGACGCAAAAAAAAGTTTTAAAAAAAAGGCTATATAGGTTAAACATGAGAGAGAATTTCCTGGTAACATTGACTCTTAAGTTATAAACTGTGATATATGGGGGGGCGCCTGGGTGTCTCAGTCAGTTGAGTGTCCAACTTCGGCTCAGGTCATGATTTCACCACTCCTGAGTTCGAGCCCCGCGTTGGACTCTGCTGACAGCTCAACGCAGAGTCTGAAGCCTGCTGCAGATTCTGTGTCTCCCTCTCTTTCTCTGCCCCCTCCCCTGCTCATGCTGTGTGTGTGTGTGTGTGTGTGTGTGTGTGTGTGTGTGTGTCTCAAAACGTAAATAAACATTAATAAAAAATTTTTTTTAACCTGTGATATATGGAAAGATATCTTCTGAATGGTTTAAAATTTGACCAATTTTAATCTGTAAACCGACACGAAATACTCTATTTAATAAATAGTAGCTATATTCATGAATATGTAGCAATGGAGAAGCACTTTAAAAGAGTGCTAAAATAATAGGGGCACCTGGGTGCCTCAGTCAGTTGAATGTCCAACTCATGGTCATGGGATCAAGTCTCACGTCAGGCTTTTCACTGAGTGTGGAGCCTGCTTGGTATTCTCTCTCTCTCTCTACCCCTTTGCCCCTCTTCCCCGCTTACTCGCTCTCACTCTTGCTCTCTCAAAAAAAAAAAAAAAAAAAAAAACACTTTAAAAAGTAATAAAATAATAAGAAAGGAAAAGACTGAGAAATGTGACTATATAAAAAGCTGTATGTTCAAACACATAGAGCTGAAAGACCGGACAGGCTAGGAAGATTGTTTCCAGCTAATATGAAATGGGACGATTTGAGTTACAGGGAGTAGTAAACCTTTACAGAAAACCCAGTGTGGCTTAAATAATAAGGAAATTTGCAGCCCAGTATAACTGGAAATGCAGAGTTAGGGCAAGTTCCTGACAGTGAGATCAGTGACTCACTTATGTCATCCTGGACCCAGAATCTTCCGTGTGCCTTCCCCGCCATCATAAGTATCACTGGCTTTGTGAGGTTCCCTTCTGAGTTACAGTATAAGTAAGGTCATATGCTTCCTTGCTCATGTTCAGTTGAAGCTATGGAAAATAAATCCAGCCCGTGTTGTAATTCCTTCCCAGTCTGAGACAGCGTAGGTCATGTCCTCGCCCTGGGACCACCACACCGTGGAGTGCTATGTTTTGATGTACTTAATGAACAATCAGGATCCCCTGGAGGCGGGGACTGGAAGGCTACCTGAGCAGAAGCAAGGGTCTATTGGGAGGGGGAGATTGATATTGGGCAGGCTTGTACAGGGTTGTCGTATTTCACGTACAAAATGTAATTGAATCGTTTACAGAAATTCCCAGGAGAACAGTGGTTTTTTTTCCCAGCAGAGTACATTACGGATAGAGTAGACTTTGCGAAGAAACGGGGCCAGTCTTATTAACACCAGTTTATATTCTTAACAGAGACTCCGGGGATGTTGCAGCTCTCAGAGGGTGAGTTCAGCCTAAAGGCTTCCTTTTGATCTGTTTAATCTGACTTTGTCCTCTGGCTGCTCTATCACCTGTGTGGTTGGTTTTTCTCCTGTGATTCAGATCCCGGAAATTTAACATTCTGGGCACAAACACGAAAGTGATGAACATGGAAGAGTCCAACAACGGCAGCCTCTCTGCAGAATTCAAACATCTGGTACATGGAGAAGCCTGGATCCCCTTCTCCAAGGGCACCTGGCGGAGGGAGAGGGGGGTGGGGGTGGGGGGGGGAGCCTCACGTGACCCAGGTGCTCTCTGCTTTTCCCACAGACCCTGAGAGAGCAAAGATGTGGTAACGGGGGCCGAGCCAATTGTGATGTAAGTTTTTTGGGGGACGAAACCAACTGGCAGGGTTTTCTTTAATGGGGAGAGAAAAAGAGCCTTCTTATTGGCCTGAATTAGAGACCCCAACCTGTGGTTAAGCTGTAGTCATTTGGAAAAGTCACCATGTGTCAAAAATGACATGGTCCGAAGTCACTCTGCCGTGGAGTTCTCTGGCTTGGAGCATTTTCTTGATTGTCCTGGGAGTTGGCTCATCTTTAAGGAGGGGTGGAAAGTCCCTGGCTGACTTACCCACACCCATTTAGTGGAAAAGAAGCTTCCACCTTGCCTGGGGCTTTCCAAATTCCCCTTCCAACTCCTGCCCGCTGAGACTGCCTGGCTTCATTTTTGGTGTCCTGATTTTCTCACTGAGGTGGGATAGAAGGTTGTAATAAATCTGAACTAAACATTTAAGAAAAAGAGTAAAACCTGTTCCCCTTATTTCCATTATTCTCTTCCTCCATTTGATTCCGATTACGGGATTCTCAGTGTCAAGAATAAACTTAAATAAAGTAGGCAAATGTGACCAAAACTAGTTTTTAATCATTTTAAAAGATTGTGATAGTCTATTCTTTTTCTGGTATTTGTGCCCTGCCCATTCTTTCCTCTTCTCTAAAATGTAGCAGGCCTTTAGCGAGAAAAAGTGCATTTATAATGCTTGACTGTAAAGAGCGAAGGAGTCTATATACAACAACATAGAAAAACGTATGTGGCATATTTGTTTAGAAAAAGCAAGATGCGGGGTGCCTGGCTGGCTCAGTCGGTAAAGTGTGTGACTCTTGATCTCAAGGTTGTGAGTTCAAGCCCCATGTTGGGCATAGAGCGTACTTAAAAAAAAAAAGAAAGAACAAGCAAGATGCAAAATAATTCGAGTAGGATATTAGCATATTTGTTTAAAAAGTGTACTATACTGTTTTTGTTCTATTCACATATGCAAAAAAAATTCTCCAGGTGGGGAGGTGGGGTGCCTGGTTGGCTCTGTCAGTTAAGCTTCTGACTCTTGATTTTGGCTCAGGTCATGATCTCACAGTTTGTGAGTTCAAGTCCCACGTTGGCGCAGAGCCTGCTTGGGATTCTTGGTCTCTCTCTCTCCGCCTCTCCCCCACTCACAAGTGTAACTCCTCTTCCCCCCACAAAATAAAGAAATAAACTTTATTTTATTTAATTTTTAATGTTTCTTTTTGAGAGAGAGAGAGCTCACGCGTGTGTACGCGCGCAAGTGAGGGAGGGACAGGGAGAGAGAGAGGGAGACAGAATCTGAAGTGGGCTCCAGGCTCTGAGCTGTCAACACAGAATTCAACTTGGGGCTTGAACTCATGAACCATGAGATCATGACCTGAGCCGAAGTCAGATGCTTAACCCACTAAGCCACCGGTTGCCCCAATAAATAAACTTAAAAAAAACAACAACATTCTCGAGGAATGTATACCAAACAATGCTTATGTATTTATTTTGCTGTTAGTATCTCAGACTATGCTGTCTGTGTAATATTTGCATTCTAAAGTTGATTTATTATTTTTTTTAAGTTTATTTATTTTAAGGGAGAGAGAGAATGCCAAGCAGGCTCTGCACTGTCAGCACAGAGCCCGACACAGAGCTCGAATTCACGAACTGTGAGATCATGACCTGAGTCAAAATCAAGAGTCGGGATGCTTAAGCGACTGAGCCACCCAGGCGCCCTGTGATATTTGCATTTTAAACTGAACATATGTTATTTCTATAGTTAGGAAAAAGATAGTGTTTTAAAAACGAATTGAAATTGTGTCTCTGAGAATTCATTGAGAAGCCTTACCGAAAATAAGGTTGCCATATTGCTGGTGGCAGTATAAATTGTCACTTCAGAAAACAACTGGACATAATAAAAAAAATGAACATACTCTACAAACCAGCAGTGCCACTCCCAGGATTTAACAATAGAGAAATCTTTGCACATGTGCACCAGGGGACATGTACAAAATGTCACAGCAGCCTGATTGTAAACCCTAAATATAACCCAGATACCATCGCTGCTAGAGTAGATAAAGGATTCGTGGTAGAGTCATATGACGGAATACTCTAGAGCTGTGAAAATGAACAACAGCAAATTCATACAACCCCAGGGATGCAAAAAGCGAGTCCTAAAGAATATGTAGGGTATGATTTGTGTAAGGTTCACAGACCTCTAAAACTGAACAATGCATACAGTATTTAGAGATATAAATACAGTAAAGCCCTAAAGGAAAACTGGGAAGCGATAAACCCAAAAGACAAAATAGCGGTTACATCTGAGGGAGGAGGGACCAGGGAAGGGCATGGGGAAGGGCATCCTGAGCATCTCCGTGGTGATGATCTTTTGCTTAAACTGGGTAGTGGGTACAGGTGTTCATTGTTTTGATTTTCTGTGCACCTTACCCATTTGGTAAATAACCTATTGGGTCTATAGTATTGTAATAAAACCAGTAAAAGATGAGGTTGAAGATCGTAGCACTAAAGAGGGCGTGTTCTCAGTGTTGTGTCCCTGGTGTGTCCATGGCCTCCCGGTGGATCACCCTTCTTGGTGCAATGAGGCTGTGGCATTCACTCTCCTCAGCTATGGCTGTTAGTATCCAAGGCCATTCTCTCTGAGGAAGAGGGTGCCCTTCTCGTTGTAGGCCTCCCTGATTGTCACCGAGGAGCTGCACCTGATCACCTTTGAGACTGAGGTGTATCACCAGGGCCTCAAGATTGACCTTGAGGTGAGTTTTGCCACAGAGTTGGGACAGGGCTGCACGCAGGCGTGATTCAGGACAAGAACTTCTAGTTGGGATTTTTTCTACAGAAGGTAGAATGATGTATATGCTTTATATATTGTGTTCTTGCAATAAAGTAAGCTAGAGAAAAGATAATGTTGCCAAGAAAATTGTAAGAGAAAATACGTTTATAGGACAGTACTCTAGATCAAGAAAAATCATCCATGTATAAGCGGACCCATGCAGTTCAAACCCATGCTGTTCAAGGGTCAACTGTATACTCAGCTTTCAGCATATGAAAGTACTGAAATTGTAATTAATTAATATATTATTAATCTGTGCATAGAAATTATAATGGACTCTATAAAGTTTGGGCAAAATAGGCTTTTTAGACAGCCACTGTTTTTAGTGTACAGGAAATCATGGCATTTGCATTCTCCTCTATCAACTTTCTTCATCTTTAAATTAAAGCTATACCCGGAAAAGCAAGAATCCTAGTCTTTGCCTACTGAGACCTGTCTGTTTAACGGGCAGATACAGCTTCAATTCTCGGAGAGTGCCTCCCAGGTTTTATAAACGGGGAGTCTGTGGACTGTGAGTCCAGCTTTGAGCACGTCAGATTTTTTAAGTTCCTGGTTGTGTCCTGTGACCCGCATTTGGCATTCTCTCCACTCTGGGCATTGAGCTGACTCAGCCGAGTTCCTCCCTAAGGGCTGGCAGTAGGTGTGATTTAAGGCACATTCTTTTATTCGAAACCTGCAGGTCTGACTGAAGAGACGGTTGAAGCTGTGAGGGCCCTCTGCCTCCCCAGCTTATTCCCCACTCTCTCCACAGACCCACTCCTTGCCGGTTGTGGTGATCTCCAACATCTGTCAGATGCCTAATGCCTGGGCATCTATCCTGTGGTATAACATGCTGACCAACAACCCCAAGGTAAGCGCCCATCCTTCGGAAAGCATTGTCGCGGTCCTAGCGTGGGTCACCAAGCACCACCGTCTCCATCTAAATGAGCAAAGGTGTTGGGGCGCCTGGGTGGCTCAGTCGGTTGGGCGTCCAACTTCGGCTCAGGTCATGATCTCGCAGTCCATGAGTTCGAGCCTCACGTCGGGCTCTGGGGGCTGACAGCTCAGAGCCTGGAGCCTGCTTCACATTCTGTGTCTCCCTCTCTCTCTCTGACCCTCCCCCGTTCATGCTCTGTCTCTCTGTCTCAAAAATAAATAAACGTTAAAAAAAAAAAATTAAAAAAAAAATAAATGAGCAAATGTGTCGTCTTCAACAGAACGTGAACTTTTTCACCAAGCCCCCGATTGGAACCTGGGATCAAGTGGCTGAGGTGCTGAGCTGGCAGTTCTCCTCCACTACAAAGCGAGGCCTGAGCATCGAGCAGTTGACGACGCTGGCAGAGAAGCTCTTAGGTCAGCATTTTCCCCCTTCTCCCTGTTGCCCTCTTCAGAGAAGGAGTCTGGCCTGTGGGGCTATTCATTCAGGAAAATTTGCTGAGCCAGACACTGTCCTGGGGCCTGAAAACGTGCTCCAGCAGTTGGGGAGGTGGGGTGGAGTAGAGATGCCTCCTGGTGATCATTTCTGAGGTGGGAGGCAGATTTCTTTTCTCTCGGTGGCTGGACCCCTCACCCTTCCAGAGCACTACTTTGGCTAACCTTAGGAAGCTATTTAAGTTTAAAAGCAATTTTTTAAGTTATTTTAAGTTATTTTTCATATTTGTGAGAGAGACAGAGACGGAACACGGGCAGGGGAGGAGCAGAGAAATGGAGACAGAATCTGAAGCAGACTCCAGGCTCTGAGCTGTCAGCACAGAGCCCGACGCGGGGCTCGAACTCATGAGCAGTGAGATCATGACCTGAGCTGAAGTCGGACGCTCAACCGACTGAGCCGCCCAGGCGCCCCAGGAAGCTATTTTTTAAGTGCATGTTAGAAGACAGAGGCAAAAGCTTGACGTCCATGTCCATTTCTTCAATAAACTGTAGGCTTGTTTTTATTTTTTCCTCTGGGAAAAAAAAATTTAGTGGACTGTTTTATTTTACATGCTACCTGGACTGTAAGTAGCCTTATCCTGTGCCACCGCCAAATGTGACCCTCTAACACTGTCAGTTTATTACTGTGTGCTGCTGGTCCCTGAGCACCAGCTGCCACCACATGAGGCTAGGAAGAGTCGCGGGGGGTGGGGGGACGGACCCTCGATACGTCATCCACCACCTCTGCTAGTCTAAACAACAACGCAGGTGATCACACGATGGGATTTTGTACATCTGTGTACATGTGTGTACCTGTGTGTGCACACGTACATGGACACAACGGTGGGAACCTTTAAATACATGAAAACCGATGGTGACTTGGCCCACTGTGGGACAGATGTGCATGAATGTATGTTCTGTCTTAAGAAATAAAATCCTAGGGGCGCCTGGGTGGCGCAGTCGGTTGAGCGTCCGACTTCAGCCAGGTCACGATCTCGTGGTCCGGGAGTTCGAGCCCCGTGTCGGGCTCTGGGCTGATGGCTCGGAGCCTGGAGCCTGTTTCCGATTCTGTGTCTCCCTCTCTCTCTGCCCCTCCCCCGTTCATGCTCTGTCTCTCTCTGTCCCAAAAATAAATAAACGTTGAAAAAAAAATTAAAAAAAAAAAAAAGAAATAAAATCCTTGACTTGAAGCTGGAAGTTACACTGCTTTATTCTTTTCCTCGCAGGACCTGGTGTGAACTATTCAGGGTGTCAGATTACGTGGGCTAAATTTTGCAAAGTAAGCCATCTTGTTAAATCCTTGTCGCTGCCGAGTGGGAGCGGGAGGGACGCCCACCCGTGAGGTTGTCGGGGACGGCACTGGGCCTGAAGGCTGTAGACTCATGGTCTAGCGGCCCGTAGGCCCTACTTGAGGGTAGATGGGCCTGGGGATTTTGGTGGCACTGTGTCCGTAAGAAGGAAAAGGCTGAAGAGAGTAGACTTGGCTTTCTCGTTATTCTTCTCTTTAGGAAAACATGGCCGGCAAAGGCTTCTCCTTCTGGGTCTGGCTAGACAATATCATTGATCTTGTGAAAAAGTACATCCTGGCTCTTTGGAACGAAGGGTAGGTTGAAGCTCTTGTGTCCGGCAGAGTGCACATGTGTAACACGTCACCTGCTCTCAGCAGGCCACGGGCGGGACCCCATCAGCCCAGATCTTGTTGCTGTTCTTTGGCTCCAGGTACATAATGGGTTTTATCAGTAAGGAGCGGGAGCGGGCCATCTTGAGCACCAAGCCCCCAGGCACCTTCCTGCTAAGATTCAGTGAAAGCAGCAAAGAAGGAGGTGTCACCTTCACTTGGGTGGAGAAGGACATCAGCGGTAAGTTTGACTCTCACCCGCCCCACCTGGTGGCAGTTGCTGCTTCCGCTGTGGCCACTACTAGTTTCAAGTACCTATTGCCCCCTAGTGGGCAAAGATGGGCTTCGCACTCCCCTGCCTTGGACTTGTAAAAACATTTTTCAGTGACTTCTTTTCTTCCAAATTCTTTCAGCTGGAGGATTGTTTGGCAATTTTGTTTTGCTTTCTTCAGGAGCTAATATTTGCCTACACATTTCCGATTTAAATCTCATTCTTCATCTCCTTTCTAATTTACCCTGTTAATCTATCTCATGCAAGTAGTTATTCGGGTGTATTGCTGACGACCCAACTGGGTAACCTCTCCAGAAGCCAGCTGAGCATTTTTATAGTGCCAGGTGACTGGGCAGGATATTTGAGGCTCAAGAACTAGGTTGGCATAAGCCATTCCCTTTCAAGGAAAAATAAATCAGGTAGTTTTCTCTAAGATTACCTGGCCATTATCCTCCCTTTCCATATCCGATGACAGGCAAGACCCAGATCCAGTCCGTGGAACCATATACCAAGCAGCAGCTGAACAACATGTCGTTTGCTGAAATCATCATGGGCTATAAGATCATGGATGCTACCAACATCCTCGTGTCTCCGCTGGTTTATCTCTACCCGGACATTCCTAAGGAGGAGGCGTTTGGAAAGTATTGTCGACCAGAAAGCCAGGAGCATCCTGAAGCTGACCCAGGTAGTTGTTGATTTTCCGCGTTGGGCACTTTTTCTGGGAAAAAATGGGAAATTGCAGGATTCTTGGAGGATAGGTAGGTCACTGCCCAAAGAGCCTGGTGACCTTTATTCCTCTTATGGGAAATAAGCACTCAGTAGTGAGTGCTTTTTGGTCGTGGCTGTTAGGGTTGGAGAGAGGAGGGGCATCGAAGTCACTTGTCTCTGTCCTACGGAGAACCCAGCAGGCTAAACGGGGAAATAGACACACACACTCAACTCACCCCAAACATCTAAAATACTGCCGAGAGAGCGCGAGGACAGAATTCTTAAGTAACAGGATGCCCTGCCAGCACACCGCTTCTTACACTGGAAGGTTTGCGACTCAGACTTGAGTCTAGCATGTTTCCTTTTCCCCATCGCTGAACAATGTGAGCAGTGTCGAGCGGGATGGAGAAAGGCTTTCTGGAGGAAATGAGTGTTAGCAGCACTGGAACGTGGTTTACGAGCAGAGCGGGGAGGGGTGGGGGGCGTGGTGATTGAAGAGGAGCCTGTAAACGGTGGGAGGGTGCGGAATTGGGATTGAGAACATGCAGCTATTGAAATAAAGCGGTTGTTTAATGTGCAAGAGCACAGGTATCTATGTAAGTCGTATCGCAAATGTTTCATAGTAAGCTTGTAACCATTAGTCCTCCGCAAGGAGGAGCAGCCCCTCTGGTCTGTGCCTTTGGCACTTGCTGATTTGGCTCTCTGGGTTCTTCTCTGTCCAGATCCTGTTGGGGAGTCTGTGATTTGCCATTCTTTGTTTTTATTTCACTTCCCTTAGTTGAAGAGCTCTTTGAAGTGATCCTTTGAGGGTAGCTTCCACCCCAGTTGCTTTTGGAAAAATTGTCTTTGTGCAAAGAGCTCACACGCACATTCCCACCTGTTCACAGAGAACCCGTGCGCGGAATTTCTTGGATGGGGAAGACTGGGACTTGGAAGAAGGAACTTGAGTTGCTTGGCAATTGACTTTCCTCTTCCCTTTGTTCTGGTGTTGGGTTTTATTCATACTGTAGAAGAGCTAACTCTCACTTCCTGTCTGCTACTTATCTTTCTTTCCAGCTGGGCTTCAGTTGGGAGATCTGTTTATCAGCCCTGACACTCTACTCTTTGTTCCTTCTGCTGAGGACATTTAGGTCCAAGTGCTGGTCCCTTTGGCTCATTTTGCTTTCAAGATCCAGGTTCCCAATTGAGGCTGTGTCCTCTGTTATCATCACCCATCCTGTGTGACCGGGAAGCAAGGTCCTTTCCTGCTTGGAGTCACTAGTGTTTTCTCAGGGGCAAGACCCCCCCACCCCCACCCCACCCCGGCACAAGAGAGAGGAACTAGTGACTTGAGTGCTTTGCCAGCCTCCCAGGGAGGCAGGTGTATGCAGTGGGCACTGAGGGGCTTGGGGTGGCAGGAGCGAGGTGATGGGGGGGGAGGGGCGGCGTGCCAGTGGAGCCCCTGCATTAAAGTGGGAGTCCTCGGGGACGTGGATCTGTGCCTGTTTCCTCCCATTTTCCATCATGAAAATATTTTTGTCCCCAGGGATAGATGATCTTCCCAGGACCCTTCCTTCCTCCTTACTTCTCCACCAGACCCCACACAGTATTTCCCGATGGCTCAAGGGAGAGAGTCCCTTTTTAAAAATTTTTTTTTCAACGTTTTTTATTTATTTTTGGGACAGAGAGAGACAGAGCATGAACGGGGGAGGGGCAGAGAGAGAGGGAGACACAGAATCGGAAACAGGCTCCAGGCACTGAGCCATCAGCCCAGAGCCTGACGTGGGGCTCGAACTCACGGACC